TTTAAAAAAAAAAAAAAAAGGATACCTTCCCGGTGTCCCCCTGGGCCCAGACAGATCTGCTAAGGAAAACGTACCTCTTGCAAGTTCTTTCTGCTCACCATGCGCCCAGCCACTGACCCAGATACCGTGGGAAGAAAGAGCACACTGCCGTCCATCACCCAGCGGGGCAGGTGTCAGGACCCTGAGGTATTTTCTGTGCAAATTAAAAACGGTCTTCTAGAATCTTACCTGTGCTGTTGGGAAGGAGTTGCAGCTTTAATGTGTGGTGTCCATTGCAATGCCTGGGATGTGGGATCTTAATCTTTTGCCCCTGGATTGTTGCTGGAGGAAGCGGAGGACTCTCCTTTAGAGGCCAGCCAGCTCGAAAGGTAAAATTCCCAGACTGAGCAGGAAGTCAGTACCCTCATTTCTAACTGGAGGGCCCTGTGGGTAGAGCAGAAGGTAGGAAGTGGAAACTCAGTCTCCAGGAAGTCTGTCTCTGTTCTGTTCTGGATAAAGATGGGAGAGGGGTCTCTGACTTCTGGAGCCAAATTATGAGTCTCACATCACTTCTAGAGATACAAGTGTGCAAAATGTCGACCAGAAAGCCAAGTAGATACTCTTTAATAAAAACTATTCACCCTTCTTAACCTCTCCCTAGGCATTTTGGAAGCCTGCTGTCACTGAGAATACTTTTTGAGGTATGGGGAGAGACTGAAGAACTGGCCTTCAAATCCTGGCTGTGCCACTTCCTAGTCAGGTGATCTTGGGAAAAATCTTTCTCTAAACCTCACGTTCTAAAGTTCTAAAACGAAAGTAGAAAACTCTGCCTTTCCTGCACGCCAAAGGGCTCTGTTACCAGTATCAGCTGGGAGTGTGTATGCATGTGCACTGTGAACACAGTGTGTCCGCAGTGAAAGGGGGTGTGGTTCTTGACTGTCCATTCAACTGCATCCTCAGATTTTGACTTTTAGAGACAGGAGACAATTATTTTATGCAGTTATTCTGTTTATTGCAGCAGCAAATGCATCTTCCAGTTGCGCTCAGCTTTAGCTAAAATTAACTTTTGAGGACCTGGGGTAGGAAAAGATTAGGGAGGTTAGGTCTGACTTTTAGCCTTGCTGGGCCTTTCCCCTCTAAATGCCTCATGTTGATTTCCTCTCAAAATCAAAGCTTCATCATCACCCCCCCACTCCTCCTCCAAGAAAGTCAACCAGCTCCCAGAGAGAATTTAATATTGGTCATTTACACTTCAGTGTAAAATTGCTTAATAATAAGGAACATTTGCATTAAACACTTTGCAGTTTACATAGTACTTTTTTTTTTAAAGATTTATTTGTTTATTTGAGAGAGCGAGAATGAGAGAGAGAGAGAGTACATTACGGGTGGAGGGTTAGAGGGAGAAGCAGGCTCCTCGCTGAGCAGGGAGCCCGTTCCGGACTCGATCCAGGGACTCCAGGATCATGACCTGAGCCGAAGGCAGTCGCTTAACCAACTGAGCCACCCAGGCGCCCCTACATAGGACTTTTTAAAAACATTTATTTACTTATTTTATTTGAGAGAGTGCGTGCGCGCGCGCGCCCGCGCACACACACACGCACACATGAGGTGGGGGATGAGCAGAGGGAGAGAGAGGATCTCAAGCAGACTCCCTGCCAAGCGCAGAGCCCGACACAGGCTTGATCTCACAACCCTGAGATCATGACCTGAGCCGAAATCAAGTGGGACGATTAACTGACTGAGCCACTCACACCCCACTATGTAGTACTTTTAAACACATTATCTAATCAAATTCCTAAAACAGATTTGAAAGATCTTGGTATGAGTCCTGCTTACAAAGGAGTTCTATTCTTCCAAGAGGAGTCCCATGATTGTCTTGCATAGGGTCTGGCAGAACTTTCACAGGAGACACGGGCCCCCTTGTTGTAAATTAACCCATATAATTTGCTTTGCATAACTATTAAACGCGGTTTTGTAAATAGTGGCAGCTTGAGACACAACCGGGCTACCAGGTTATAATAAAAGCAGGTCTTGGACCAAGTTCTGGCACTCATACAGATAGTTATTAAATAAACCTTTGCAAAAGTAGGCATAAAACCTACTGTCTTTAACCTCAAAGAAACCTCAGCTCCGGAAGATTCTAGACGCTCCCAACCTCACTTTGCATGAAGATAGATGTGGCAGTTTTAAAAAGGCAGGATTCCCTTGCTGTATAGTAGTTGTTTAACAACCAAAGTCCTCTGAACCAAAGGCTGCGGAAAGGGCTGTTTGGTTTTCGGGCTCCATCACCATCCCTAAGGGTATACAAGCCATGGTGCTCACTCTGTTGTAAATCCTATTCAGGAAAGGCCAGAGAACATCTCTAATCCGCAAATTTGAACTCCACCAATTTCACCGATTTCTAACGTTTATTATGCTAATTGACAAGCCACTAATTTCACTGATGAAAACCCATTTCTCACCTTAATTATGCCAATTAGCTAAGCCTCAGGGGGCCGTGGGAGTTAAAGAGCGCTAGCCCACCCAGGAAGGACGCCACCTACAGAGCCTGGAATTTCTGATTAGATCCTGGTTGACCACTCTCGGAGTGTATATTCCCAGTTAGGACGGCTGTCTGTCCCTGAATAGAATTTAAACTAATTCAGACACACACAGCTGTATTATATTGTCTCTGTCCACATATTTTAAAGTAAATAGTAGACATCCTGACTGGCTATTAGCTATTCCAGGAAGCCAGTAGGTTGGCAGGTAATACGCGTCATGCAGTTAGGGCTCCACCTGGAGGGTTAGCAGGGGGAATCCAAGGATTTCCCTTCGGTCTCTTAGCACCCTTTCAAAATCCAGTTTGGTGGTTCTTTTTTTTTTTTTTTTTTAAGTAAGCTCTACGCCCAGTGTGGGGCTTGAACTCAGGACCCCAGGCCCCAAGATCAAGAGTTGTATGCTCTACATACTGAGGTAGCCAGGCACCCCTGATGGTTCATTTATATCTTTTTTTTTTTTGCATTGGGGCATGGTTTATTTCAGAAAGGACTTTCCAGTTCATTTAATGAATGTGCATTTTATCCGAATCAGGAATCAGGTTCATCTTATCTGAAGCATGGAGAAAATTCTAGTCTTTCTAATCTTCAAAGGGAGCAATGAGCATTTGTTGGTTTAAGCAAAACATCATTTAATGACACCAAGCCCAGATTCCTGCCAAATTCGTGCTGTGGACTTTCCGGCTCACTTCCATTTACCTGGTGTACTTACTGGTGGCTTTGATTGCATCAGGCCCTCTTTCAGGAAGGTAAATTCATCCTGTTGAGAATAGAACTCAGGAATTTGCTCTTTTGTTATAATTGTTGCCTAACTTTGTTTACAAAAACTCAGGACCTCTGATGCCTGATGGTGAATCAGTAATGCAGCGTTATCTCTTTCATTACTTCTACCCTGATTAGAGCGTAGAGCTGCTACTCCCTGAAGTAGATGGAACGTAGTATCAAGAAAAATTTCCTGAATTTGTGGAAAGAAGTGGGAGGAGCCCCGTTGTAAGTAACAGGAAGCAGAGAGAGCCGTTTCCTGTTTATACCCTCCAGTGTCTCAATTTTTTAAACAAATGTATTGGAAAGGAATCGTCTCAAATTACACTGGGACTCCAAACTCTGACTTTTATCCAGTAATTAGCATTTTTAAAATCTCGGTTTGACACATCATAGAAGGCATTCAAGGAACGAGACTCATCATATCTGATTCAAAGAGCTAATGGTAGTTTTTTTTTGGACACGGCAAAAATGTATTGTCAGATGCTGTTCTCAGACTTTTAAAATTTTGAATTGGAACACTTGCTACTTCAGAAAATATGCCTTGGAAAGACTTGGTAGAAGTTTTAAGTTCTAAAAGAGAAAAAAGGCTGATAGGGCATCTGCTTGTCCATCACCCAACACTTGACCTGAAGCACCCAGGAGAAAGAGACAAGGTGCTCATGGGCCGTGCTGTGGAGGTGGACTCAGGACCTCCTGTCTCTGTGATTAGCAACAGGAGATCACTGTAGGCAAGTTTTTCACTCCTCCTGACCAGAGTAAATAAACTCCAAAATAGACTTACGGCTTCCTAGGAAGTCCAATTTTTGTTAAGAAAAAAATGTTGTCTCCTGGAGCTTATGGTTGCTGCTAATCTCATTATGACCCTACAAAACAAGCTTCCTGCGTGTTTAATGAATGGATGAATGACTAAATGAAGTAGAATGAATTATTTGCCTTTTAGCTTCCTTTACTGTTACATTGCCCTCTTTCCTCTTATGTCAACTGAAGTATTTTATGTTTCAGGAGGGCAGTGATTTTCAACCATAATTCAGTTCCAACAGCTTCCTACCATTTTCTTACCTTTTTCCCCCAAACCAAAAAGGATATAAGAAAAGCTCTACTTATTCCCATAAAGAATGTTAGCAGTAAGTCATTGGCCAAATGAAGCCGGAGTGGGAGGGTCACAGATAATCTGACTCTCACAGTAGCAGTGCCTCGTATCTCTTTTTGTTGGTCTGTTTATTCCAGTAATAGCTTTCCATGGAGTGGGCTAATTTTGACCTAGGTTTATTTGAAATTGAATGGCAGCCTGTAAGTTTCAGGCATTCAAATTTTCTGTAATTCTTAATGACCTGGAAGTCACTGGCAATTGCCTTACCAAAAGGAAGTCTAGTTAATGTTTTTAAAAGGCAGTAAAAACGTCTTTGAGTTCATTCTAAAGATAAAAGAACACTAGTTAATGATGGTAAAAAAATAAAATAAAGATATTAGTGTTATAAATATTAATGGTATTAAAGTACCAGAGTTGGACAAAGACCAGAGCTAGACAGGAAGGTCATCCAAGACCAGAAAGTGTTGACAAAGGAATAGTTGTTATTGTTGCCTATGACTGAAGAAGGAACATATATTACCTGATTGGATTAAGTCTAGAGGGGAATGTAAACAATGCAGAGTGAAGGAAACCTCTAGTTCATGGAGAACCTTCTAGTTCATGGAAAACCATGAGAATTTTTCAGCATTCTGACAGCAGTACAGAGCACATAGGGTGAATTCCCATGTTGTTCTAGGTCTCATGAACAAATCTGTAATTATGCACCTTCCTTGGAGGGATTCTGAAACGAATCCCCCGAGAATCATCCTAAGGTGGTGTTTTTACATTATGTTCTAAGATTTTCAAATCGTTTATTATGGACACAAATGAAAACGATGCCATCTTGCAGTTTTGCGTGGAAGTATGTCAATAATATGAGGCACACTATGGACTTGAGAGAGGAAGACAAACTTGACCAAGGTGTCCGTGAAATCCTTGAGGAACACTCACTAATTAACCTCACAATTTTTTTTTCAAAGGTTTTATTTATTTTTTGACAGAGAGAGAGACAGTGAGAAAGGGAACGCAAGCAGGGGGAGTGGAAGAGGGAGAAGCAGGCTTCCCGCGGAGCAGGAAACCCGATGTGGGGCCCGATCCCAGGACCCCAGGATCACGACCCAAGCCGAAGGCAGACGCTTAATGACTGAGCCACCCAGGCGCCCCTAAAGCTCACAATTTACCACTCAATTATCTGAGATAAACCAGAGTCCTTGGGTATGAAAAAAGATATCATCCTAGAATTTGAAAATTAATTTTACTAATGCCAAATAACAAAATTACATGGGATTGGTAATTGGTGGGAAAGTAGGATTTATTTCAAAACATTAAGAAGATGTGGTTTTTCTTTTTTAACAGTAAGATTGGAACTATCACATAGAGAGCATTTTAGGAACCAGAGAGGAGCCACTCGTCACTAACTTTTCAAAGCAACCCTCACTCCTTAACCTAAGGAGTATTGTTTTGATGTAGTCCCAGAGAACAGAACTGTGCACTCAGTGGCTTTGGTTATGGTGTTTATGCACATGCTGAATTAAGAGCCATAGTGATGGGGCACTGTAGCTGTTAAGTGGCCTTGGAAGGAATCTACTGTTTTCCAGTATTTTATTTTGGAAAAATTTTCCAAGAAGTTTCTTGTCTCCAGAATAACTGCATTACATCTGGCAGAGAATCATGTTTTCAAGAATTGCTCATGCAAAGGGACCATCTTATTATAGTTGGGGACACACAAATAGTCCTATTACATTTCTGCAATAGTAGTAGTAATTCTGGTATAATTGCTATATAATCTCTTCTACTTTAGAAGATATTTGAACAGTGTCTTCAAATGATCTGAATCTTAATTTACATTGAGATTTATTAATTTTTTTAAATTTATTTGGGAGAGAGAGAGCATGGGAGGGGAGAGGGTCAGAGGGAGAAGCAGACTCCCCGCTGAGCAGGGAGCCTGTTGCGGGACTCAATCCCCGGACTCCAGGATCATGACCTGAGCCGAAGGCAGTCGCTTAACCAACTGAGCCACCCAGGCGCCCCTACGTTGAAATTTAAAAATGGGATTAGCATTTATGGAAAGTTCTCCGGACACCCAGTAAACAAAACAGAATCTGTAACATGGAGAGGTTTAGGTATGAATCACCACAGCAAAATGAATACGTGAAGAATTACCAGAGGGAAATCTCAGGTCCGAAGAACTTGTCATCGTTTCAGTTTTCCTTCCAGTGAGTTACCAACTAATTTCTCAGGGTTCACCTCCAAAAGAGATTTATTAGTATCTAACTCTGACTTTGGTTGTCTCTTTATTCCAGAAGCCTCCCCAGCTTTCTGAGGATGATATCCGGCTAAAAAACCAGCGAGACAAAGGCAGTGCCAACCCCTCGGAGCCTGCAACCAGCTCCCTTCCCCCAGATCACAAAAACATGGAAATTGAGGTCTCTGTTGCGGAATGTAAAAGTGTTCCCGGAATCACCTGTACCCCACATTCCATGGACCACTCCTCCCCTTTCTACTCACCCCCCCACAATGGCCTCCTGGGTGATCACCATGAAGCTCTGGATAAGGATGTGGCCAGAGAGATCCGCTATCTAGACGAGGTGCTGGAGGCCAGCTGCTGTGATTCTGCTGTGGACGGAACTTACAACGGTACATCGTCCCCGGAGCCGGGTGCAGCCATCGTGGGGGGTGGCCCAAGCCCACCCGGCCACGCAGCCGTCCAGCCGGACCCCCCAGAGAGGGCAGCAGGTAGACAGGCCCCTCCTCACACTGAGCTCAGTACCAGCTACTCTGAGGCCATGGCAGAGGGCGGAAAAGCCAATGGCCACTCCCCCGCCCAGCCCCGAGATCTGCTGGGGGACAGCCTGCAGGCCCCCGCGAGCCCCAGCTCCTCCACCAGCTCGCGGTGCTCGGGCCGCGACGGGGAGCTCACGCTCACCACGCTGAAGAAGGCGGCCAAGTTTGAGCTGCGTGCCTTCCACGAGGACAAGAAGCCCTCCAAGCTCTTTGAGGACGACGAGAATGAGAAGGAACAGTACTGTGTCAGGAAAGTGAGGCCTTCGGAAGAGATGCTGGAGCTGGAAAAGGAAAGGAGAGAGCTCATCCGGAGTCAGGCGGTGAAGAAGAATCCTGGCATTGCGGCAAAATGGTGGAATCCTCCCCAGGCCAAAACCACGGAGGAGCAGCTGGACGAGGAGTCTCTGGAGTCGCACAAGAAGTACAAGGAGCGCAAGGAGAGAAGAGCGCAGCGGGAGCAAGGGCCGACGCCGCGGCAGCCCCTCCCCCCGCAGCTGTGCGCGGCCCCTGCCGCCGCGAGCGAGCACGCCGGCGCGAGCGAGCACGCAAAGGAGGACATCGTCACCGAGCAGATAGACTTCTCCGCCGCGCGCAAGCAGTTCCAGCTCATGGAGAGTTCCAGGCCAACAGTGGCCAAGGGCCAGAGTACACCCAGGCTCTTCTCTATCAAGCCCTTTTACAGGCCTCTAGGGTCAGTCAACTCAGACAAGCCACCGACCATCTCGAGACCAGCTTCCATCGGGGGGCCACCGGAAGACGGGGGTGCATCAACGGCCAAGGGGCAGAAAGCCAGCTGTGCCCTGGAGAGCCAGTCTTCGGGGGGAAGCCAGGGCAGCACGGCTCCTCAGGGGAAGGAAGGGCCCTACAATGAGACTTCCAAACGCGGGCCCTTATCCAAACTGTGGGCAGAGGACGGGGAGTTTACCAGTGCCCGGGCCGTCCTCACTGTGGTCAAGGATGACGACCCTGGGATCTTGGATCAGTTTTCCAGGTCAGTCAATGTCTCTCTGACCCAAGAGGAGCTTGACTCTGGTTTGGATGAACTGTCAGTGAGGTCCCAGGATACCACTGTCCTGGAGACCCTGTCCAATGATTTTAGCATGGACAACATCAGTGACAGCGGGGCATCCAATGAGACCACCAATGCCCTCCAGGAAAACTCACTGGCCGATTTTTCTCTGCCCCAGACTCCGCAAACTGACAACCCTTCCGAGGGCCGGGCAGAAGGCGTCTCCAAGTCATTTAGTGATCACGGTTTCTATTCCCCTTCGTCCACACTGGGAGACTCGCCCTCGGTTGATGACCCCTTGGAATATCAGGCTGGTCTCCTGGTGCAGAATGCCATTCAACAAGCCATAGCCGAGCAAGTGGATAGAGCCGTGTCCGAAACCAGCCAGGGTGGGACAGAGCAGCAGGGACCTGGAGCAACTCTAGAGGAAGCCGGAACTGGGGCTCCCGGCTCAGAGAAGCCTCAGAGCACATTTGAGCCACCCCAGGTGTCCTCTCCTGTTCAGGAGAAAAGGGAGGTGTTACCAAAGATTCTGCCTGCCGAAGACAGGGCACTCAGGGAAAGGGGGCCCTCCCAGCCGACGCCTGCAGTGCAGCCCAGTGGCCCGGTAAACATGGAGGAGACCAGGCCCGAAGGGAGCTATTTCAGCAAGTACTCGGAGGCAGCTGAGCTGAGAAGCACAGCCTCGCTCCTGGCCACTCAGGAGTCCGATGTGATGGTTGGACCCTTCAAGCTGAGGTCCAGGAAGCAGCGGACTTTGTCCATGATCGAGGAAGAGATCCGAGCAGCCCAGGAAAGGGAAGAGGAGCTGAAGAGGCAGAGACAAGTCTTGCAGAGTACCCAGAGCCCCAGGGCAAAGAACGCCCCGTCGCTGCCCTCCCGAACATCATGCTACAAAACCGCGCCAGGTAAGCCAACCGCGCGCCAAAGACAGATGCTGTGGACAGAAAGGGTGACTCCAGCTTACGTGAGTCTTTGTGGAGCCTCCTCTGTGTGTGGCTAGGATTAGTAGCCGGGGGGGGGGGGCGGCGGGCACTGGCAACGAGGGTTTTCGCGTCCATCCAGGGACAGACAACTGAGGTCCGAATGTCCCCTAGAAGAACCCTGGGCCTGGATGGTGTGCCATTTCCCTGAGGGTACAATTGCTTCTTCCTCGTTGTTCTGCTCTGGGTTTGCTTTAGTAGAGAATTGTTCTCTTCTATTTGAAAGGGCTGCCTCTGGCTGAGGGAGGGGCCGTGTGTGGCGTGGACCCTGGCAGAGTGAGCCTGCATGTGGACTGGCTTGGACCCTTAGTATCTGTGGTTAAATCAAACCCATCTGATTTGGGGGATGTGCTCTGCTAACCCCTTCTAAATGCGAGATCCCTTTCTAACAATGACAGTCATGACCCGGTGCAGATTGACCCATAGAAGATGTTTTTGTCCCTCTTCTGTATGATTGGATTTGTCTTCCTTTTAGTCATCACAATGCAATTGCTTTGGAATCAGGGGTGGTCTCATTCATTCTTGCCCTATGACACATTTGGAGAAATTGACTACTTTAGTCCCTTCCCATTGCCTCGGCAGTCCCTTTCTTGAATGCTTTGTATAAATGGTTGATGTTAATTATGGTGGTAATTAATGTTGCTACCATTATGGATTAACAGTGTGACCAGTTGTTTTCATTTCCCATTTGGATATGATGGCAGTTGGAGTGCCACACATCCTAATGTGGAGAAGTGCTGCTCGAAGTGTGGTCTGGGCTAGTCCATGGACTGTTTGTTCCAGGTCCACACTGAGAATCAGTACAGACATTGAGAGCAAGCATTTGACAATTCTTGTTGCAGTTTGATATTGTCCTCAAATCCAAGTGTGGAATTTTGTGTTTTTTAAAAGTACTGGTTCATGACGGACTGAGGGGAAAACTTCTTTCACTGGAAACCATCTAAAAAGCATTATCCTGACATATAATTGCTGGCGTTTGACTTGGTTTACCCAGATCTTAATCCCATCTTGACACTTGGCTTCCATCAAATCTACAGTGACTCAGGGTAATTCTTTTGATTATAAATATTTAGATTTGAAATAATCTCAACCTAAAGAAAAGTTCCCAGGTATAGTACAAATATCTTTTATTCTGAACCATTTGAGAGTAAATTGCCAACATGATGCTCCATCATGCCCAATTTTACGGAATGTCCCTCAGTTTGGGTTTGTCTATGCTTTCACATGAGTACATTTAGGTTATGCATCTTTGGTAGGAATACCACAAAAATATTGCTATATTCTTCTCACTATATCCAATCAGGTGTCCCTTACAGGGACAGATACTGACTTTTTTCACATGATATTAATTTTGATCACTTGTTTGAGGGAATGTCTGACAGGATTTTACAGTAAAATTATTGTGTCCTTTGTAAGTAATAAATATTCTCTGGGGAGTTACTTTGGTACTATGTAATCTTTATCCCACTCCTCATCAAACTTTATTCATTTATCTGTTTATGTCAGTGTAGTCTTGTGGATTCCTATTATATTCAATGGGTTAGAATCCATTTCTATTATTTTTATTCTTAATTTGTTTAGATATAGCTTATGGGAGCCCTTTCAAGCTAACTTCAGCGTCCTTTTTTTTTTTTTTTTAAAGATTTTATTTATTTATTTGACAGAGAGAGACACAGCGAAAGAGGGAA